GTACATAGAGGCCAAACTTGAAGCTAGGCTGTAATTATATCAAATGAATCAGAGACTAGTTAAAGGAATTAAATTCTTGGGAATTTTAGGGTTAGGGTTAGATATACTGTATTGCCTAAACAAGACTAGGGAAAGTCAGCTTTCAACTCACACACGTTTCCACTTCATCAGCTAAAGCCTTGCGAGCTCCATGTTTAGGACGAAGTTGTATTGCTCATGTGTACTCCATGCAGCAGCCAAAACCTTTTATTAAAATAATTTGATGGAGGACATTCAATTTTGAAATGTACCTGTGAATTCATTTCTCCTTTGAGAAGAAACAATAGGTTCCTGTGATTTACCTTTTCCACTCAAGTGTACTTCATTTCACGAAGCCTTCTGAGGAAAGGAAGGCGTGTAGGTTAAATTTGCTATGACTATTGCTCCCACAGTCCTAAGAAATGAAAAAAACTTAAAATAAACAAAGGGACTTAAAATATAGTTCAGTTGGCAAAGTATTTGCTGTGCAAGCAGAAGAATCTGAATTTGATGTAGACATCCATAAAGACATACACATAAAAATCTGGGCATGGGAAGGCAAAGAGTAACAGATTCGTCTAGCTTCCTGACAGCCAGTATAGTCTAACGGATAAGACTCAAACACTGTGAGGGACCCCCTTTTGAAAAACAAAGTGGGAGACTCTTTAGGACCAGCCCTAGGGTTTGACCTCAGGCTCTTCCACATGCACATGTACGTGTAACCTTTACACACATGCATACAAAATAAAGTGAGAGACTCTTGAACATTGGGATTTGTCCTGTGTGGACTATTCTAATCTTTTTAATTTCTTTCATTTCAGGTCCTTAATAATTGTGTAGTAGCTGAAGACGAACAGCCCACCTAGGCTTTTCCTACAGCTCATTCACTACACATATAATCCCAGTTTTGTAACTGACTTTAATTTCCCAGCAAGTACTGTTTGATCTTGCTTCTGAATATCTAGCTGGATAAATCAGAAATAAAGTTTCCAGGAATAGGGTCAGCATACTTGTATGTGGGATAAAAATTATCAGTACTGATTTGGCACACTATTAAAAAACAACCCCAACATTTCTATGGTTCATCCAAACAATAGTGTAGTCATCCTTTGTATGTAATCTGTTGTAGATCAGTGCAAATTTTGACAAGACATAGGACCAAGGAATTAAGACAGCTCTATGCTTATTCTCTACCATCTAGGATGAAGCCTTGTCTCTTGGTGTCTCAGGAGTAGAGAAAGCTGGAAATCTGTGACATGATTCTTCCAAACTTTGGATAGGAGCTGCTTTTAACTTCTATTCATAATCCATTGCACACAATCCTCTCCCATCTAACGATAAAGATATGATGAGGAAGAGTAGTGGTACAGACACAAGGTTTGTCAACAGGCACTGTTTGCTACTGTTGGAGTCTGGAAACATTCATGCTTCATACTAGTAGCAACATCAAGGCTTTTTGGCCAACATCCCAGAAAAGAACTTGGAGAAGACAGTAGTAGGAACCAACTCGGATGTAAGCAGTGACTGCTAGACAAAATGGAACTCATTTGATGGTTAATTTTTGGTTTCAGATCTAGAAAATCAACTTTATAAGTTGAGTCAGACATATTGATAGGTGTGAACTAAAGCTAATCCTCAAGTTTTTAATGGATATCCTTTTAATTTTTCCTTTATACAACATTCATTGAAAGCATAAATCATAAAATGTGTACTCATTTCAAAAATTATATATTTTAAACAAGCTAATTCCTAATATAAATTATTTTATAACCCATCCCTTTTCTTTATTGTGGAAAACTGTGGAGGTTCCACATAGTTTAAATCACTTTCACTGTCCTTCTTTGAACTAAAACACACAGAAAATTCAAATCCACAAACTAAATTCTTTGTATAACTTGACAACTCTGTACCACATTTCTGGTGTATTCTTGCTCTGCCTTAAGGAGACTACCTTCTAATAATGATGCTCTGATCAGTAATTCACTATCTCATTTTCTCCATTGATCTAAGGAAACACTTTATCTGCGTTCACACTTGGATACATGTGGGCCAGGTTTAATATCTGATATTCATTATAATTAACATATATCACAACCAAAATTCTCTGAGCATTTTGATTTCACATGATAAACAATTGATGGCAGAAAAAAAGCCAACAAAGAAAATGGTGTTCAAGGAATAATGCATATACAGTATTATTTATTATTCCTGTCAACCATATTTGTAAATATGTTCCTTGGCTCAGAGGTTCAGGAACTTATAAAATCTGCATTGAAATAGTGGTTGTCACCCCATATCTGCATGGTTTCAAATGCGGTACAATCCTAATCCCATGTCTCAAAAGTAAGACAAAATTAAGAGTCTTGCAAATAAAAATTTGTCAGAAAACACATTGCTAATTCTCCCTTTGCACTTCCCAATGTGTTGCTTTCTTTGCAGCTTTCCAGAGCATGTGTCTACCTATGACAGTTGATACATTTTATTAAATAATGTTACTATGCATGACCTCAGCATTTTGAAAGAGTAGTAAAATTAAGAATGGAATTAGTAAATGTACCTATTGTTCTTTATTACATATCAAAATACTATAGTGTGAAAAGCCTTCTGATATTTAAAGAAAAGAGAAATTCAGCTTTGTGATTTTGTGTATTCCAAGAAATTTTCTCTTGGTGAAAGAGGGGGCAGCAAAAACTTTTATTAGTCCTGTATAAGTATAGACATATTGGATTTTTGAATGATTTGTAGCAGCTGACAACATATTTACTGATTTCCTCATTCACAGTACAGAAGCAGGGACAGGTGAAAATGGTGCAAGCACAGAGGAAAGAGCAGTTCTTCCCCTCCCATCACTTAAAATAGAGCAACTTAAGCCAATTACAATGTTCTGATAAAATTTTAATTTGACAACATTGAGATGAACAATAGAACCAGAGGCTCCCTGGCTCAGAACTTGGCACCTATTCAGTTCTCCAGACTTGAATTGAATGGGTTAGGGAGTCAGTCAGTCCTTCTGCCCAGTGTCCACAGGATGGGAATACTGGTCTTTCATAATTGTTACTCCAACTAACAATATGATTTCCCAGCTATTAAATCTGTAAATAATTTAGGTGATAGAGATGGGATGAATTAGAGAACTTTTTATGTATTTTTAGTACTGGATGGGGAATGGTATGGTAGAAAAGTGCCCAGGAGAAGGTTTCAGTTAAGGTAATACAAGTCTAGTTTCTAGAAACATGATTCATAGTGATGGGAAATGAAGGAAGACACAATTAAACCTTGGATGAGATGGGATGCATGCTTAGTTGGAGATGCCCAATAGCCTGCATAGTTAACGCTTTTGTTATATTCAGGGAAAACAAGGGAACATCCAGCTAATCTTAATAGGGTAACCCAGCAGTGGAGTGGAATGCATGGTCATTCACTCTTCAGGAATGTGGAAACTGTTGTCAAAGCCTTTCTGCAGGTATTGTTGTCCAGCTAAGGTCAGATGGCACACAAGCATCATGCTTCAGCAAACATCCTAGTCCCAGCCATCAAGGAGGCAATACCATTCCCTTAGTAGCTTTGAAACTGCTTGAACATGTATCAAGAACACTCAGTCACAGAGGGGTGCATTCACTCCCTGAAGGTTACATTTTCGGACTATTGTCTATGAGTGAAATTAAATGGCTTTTCAATTACTGAGTTACTTCTGTGAGTGTGTAGATATACATTGGCTACTCACTCAACAAGAATCTTGTCAGAGGACCTCAACAGGCAGACATAGCAGTAAATCAAATCTATAGTTACACAAAAGCCAAAATCCCCAGTAAATTGTAACTTTATAGAAGCTGTTTTGCTTCATGATATATTAAAAATAACTTTTTAAACAGTAGTTTATTTTAAAAATGCAGAAGTTATATTGCATTGTAAATCTTATTACAAAGCCAATGAATCAAATATATTCTAGAATTAAAACATATCACTGTATTTACCTATTCTAAACATAAATTTCTATTAACTTACTGAGGAAAATAAATTTTGATGACTTTGTATAAAAATAGTTCATATATAACTTTAAATAAACTGACTTTGATCTTTTCCTCAGATGTATATAATCTATACTATATTAACTACAACTGTTAAAGGGATGTATATACACACACACACACACACAATTACAGTTAAAGCATGCTATTCAAATGAATCAGTTTCTTAGTTAAGTTGTAGGAAGTGTTTCATTCTATGTAAAAATGGGACAAAGCAAGCTCAGTAGTGTAAGGGACACTGTAGCCACGCCTGCTAGGGACCTGCTACAGGTGTGCCTGACCATGCCTTCGAGGGCATGTTCAGGGTGATGTATGAAGCTTTAAGAGTGAGGGGTGCTCACGTGGTGGCCCCTTCTTCCATTTCATCTTCGGCTCGCTGTACTTACTGCTACCCCAGCAGTTGGCTAGGTCACTCTGTAAGTAAGGCTTTTCCCTAATAAATTCCCTTGTATTTCTACCTGACTCCCTATTGGTAATTCCCATAATATAGTAGTACTGAAAAAATTAATGTTTTACTTGATATGAGCTTCAAAATAAATAACCATTGCAAGGATGCATGACTAGAATTAATGATGAGCCAGAACCCAGAGCTGATGGTAAGAAAATAACTACAAGGTCAGGGAGGAGGTTATGGGCAACCTGCCACTACCCAAATTATTTACTCTTTTCTGTATGTTATGAGACTAACAAAGATTCAAAATGAGTGAGAATGTCATTAATGTTTCAATATGTTACTTTTTCATATATGCAAATTCCCAAAAGTATTCTTTTAATTGATTTCATTCATTAATGGTCAATAGTTAGTCAAAATTTTAATCAATTTAATTAATGGTTAATGAATGAATTAGTAAAATTTTGATAAAAACAACATAAAAAGGTCTGACTAACATAATAACCCTAAGGGTATAATAGTTCCTACTGTAGCATAACCAACAGTTCTCTAATTGGACTTACCTATCTGCTCAGCAAGGATGAAATCATGCCTGGTACTGGAAACTCAGCCAACCACGTAGAGCTTGTGAATCCATGGATCGCAGAAGATAACCAACAGACAGAAGCTACAACTGAAAACCACAACCAAGTAAAATTCAAAGCTGTAGAGTCCAGTTGAAGTGGATATATCTACAAAACAACTCTTGTTCCCAAGGTTCTGTAATGATTGTGGAAATGGGGGCAAGAAGACTCTAAGAGCCAGAGGATCAGGAAGTTCACTGTGAGATTGTATTTCCTAGAAATGTCCAAGGCTGTACCTATAGTATCACCAGCACACGACTACCTAAACATGAACTGAACAAGGACAACACCAAAACATAGACAATATGGATTGAGGAAAGATCACATGGTCCCAACCCTACACAAAGAACTATAGGCAACTAAGGAATTCTAAAAGTGGAAGAAATAGGCTTTCCCAAGGAAGAGCACATCAAATGTCTTGTTTGAAAACATGCATGCAAAAAACATTATATGGCTGTACTTATGTATTTAAACTAAACATATATAAATGTGTACACGTACATGATGCATTCATGTGTTCTTACATGCATTTGTGTGTGTTTGTGTCTGAGTGTGAGAGAGAAAGTTAGAACATGTATTAAGGGAAAAGGCACATGAATTTCAAAAAGCACAAAGACAGATATTTAGGAGGGAATAAAGGGAGGAAAGCACACGGGTAAATGATGTGATTATATTATAATATCAAAAATTTAAGAAACAATTTTAAAAAGCAATGTTTTGTACTATAGTTTGAGTGTTACAATGACCATAATGCTGCTCACTGCAAAAACAGTAAAATAATTCATGTAAGAACAAGAACAATAATTTGTACTTCAAATATTCTCCTAGGATTACTATTGCTATAATGACCAAATAGCAAGTTGGGGAGAAAAGAGTTTATTTGATTTGCACTTCCACACCACAGTTCATCATCCAAGGAAGTCAGGACAGGTACTCAAACGGGGCAATAATCTGGAGGCAGGAGCTGAGGCAGAGGCTGAGGAGGAACACTGCTTACTGGCTTTCTCCCTGTGGCTTGCCCAGCCTTTTTTCTCATAGAACCCAGCACTATTAGCCCAGGGGTAGCATCCACAATGAGATGGGCCCTCCCACATCAATTACTAATTAAGAAAATGCCCTACAAGCATGTCTATAGTCCAATATAATGTAGGTACTTTCTTAATTGAGGCTCCCTCTTCTCAGACAACTTTAGCTTGTGTCTAGTTGACATCAAACTAGCCAGTATAAACAATATTTTCTATTTATTATTGGTTCAGATCCAAGTAAAATGAGGTCAATGCATGTTCTGATGCACAGTAAATTCAGTATATTTAGAATATTGTGGAAGAAATAAAAGTATGAAACACCCAACTTTACATCTACAGTAAGATATTTTATTTTACATATTTAAAAACAAACATAAAAAATGGATTTTGTGTAACATCGGTCTTTTCTTCAAGAACTTCCTTTTTTAAAAAAAAACTGTGATGTTCAGTTCAAGTACAAGCCACTGTTAGTTTCTACCATTGCACAAGCCACACTTTAAAGGATATTTTGAAACAATCCTTTTAATTCTCTAAATGTGCCATAAGAATTTCATATTTCTTTGGTGAGATGGTCTCATTAAAGATTTCTGAGTTTTGCTGCTTATTCTGCTTTTAGTAATAGTAAATTTAATAAGTAACTTTTAAAACTATGAAAATTCAAAATGTGAAGCTTAGTCATATTTGGTAAACTGAACTGTACCCTCAAAGAATTTTAGGTAATTTCTTAAAACTAGTTTGTCTTGTCTTGCAGACATGAATGAAGTCTATGTCATAAGATGAACACAGGATTATTTACAGCAGTAAACAGTCTAAGGTGATAAATATGAATAATGTCAAAGTTTAAATTGGCCAAACAGTGTTAATTACCCATCCATAAGTGATTATTAGAATTCAAAAAGAAAATAAAATGGAGAACTCATTCTGCAATAACACTTTGAGAATATAAAATGTAGAATAGTGTAAGAGTGCCTCCAAGTGGCACTCATCAAAATTTCTGCAATAAATTAAATATGAGATCACAAAGCTTTAATGACAGCAAACCAGAAGCATAGTTCCCATGTTTTCCATCAGATTTGCTTATGCTTTTCAAATGGTATTTATGATTTCCATTTATTGTAAATCCATTGACATCATTAAGTACCCACATTAAGCTCCATTAATTCCCAGGATTTTGGATAGTTTTTAATATTGCCTCATAAAATATCTAGCTATCATCTAAAATATCTTTTCATTAAACTTGAGGAGAAAAATCTCTAATTTGCTCATATTTGCTAAATCTTAATTGAAAAGACGAACAAAGGACTCCTCTACCAGTCAAGGAATCTGAGAATCACAGGTTTAAAGTTTCTGCCATTCCAAGAAAACTTAAGTTATAATATGTCCCCAGTGTCTGCTTGGATAGTGGGTAAATTAATAGATTCTACTTCACAGACTTGTGCCCAGACAAACTGGATGAGGCTATCAGTAGATTTTGCTTATCCTTAGAGAATGTGTAGTGCATTTGGGTATCCAGTTTTTCTGTTAAAGAATTATTTAACTCAGCCAAGCAAAAGAAATTTCATGCCCCAAATAACCATGGCACAGGAGCTTACAATACAAATGAGAAACTGAAGTTTGTGTTCCAGGAAGGTAATCTTGCAGTAGAGTTTACTTTCAGAAGAGGTTCATCCATTGAGTGTTGCTGTTGTCATCATTGTGTCTCCTTTTTTTCAATTTACTCAGCTTCCTTTACATGCTTTATTCTTGCTTCTCTCATTTTAGACAGATAATTTCCTTAAGCCATTTTTCTCTTTCCTTCAGAGGAGAGGCCATCTCCATTCTCTCCTAGTACATTTCTATTCTTTCAGGTATTTTGTTTTGTTTTGTTAGTCTTTTTGCTTTTTATCATTTCAGTTTCTTCCCTTCTTGCTTTTTTCCAAACACATTTCTTGAAACTAGATGATATTGATAACAAAACTTAATGTTCAGACTCCAAGGAAATATCATGGACTATTTCAAGTGTATTAAATATAGAGACATTCATGAAGATTGGGAAATAGGTATGTACTCTGTCTTTGTAATTTCAGCTGTTAACTTTTTCAACTCTAGAATGTAATGCTGCAATATCCATGGGATTATTCCTCTAGGGACTGAGTATGCGGTGCTCCTGAAGAATATTCACTCTCGCCTATTTTCAATCAGCCTTTTTCATGTGGAATTTATGCTGTATGGTTTCATTTCTCTTCTGTCTCCATGTGAAAACCAAATTCTGCTTTAACTCCTTGCCAAGATTCTGCTCATCCAACACACTTTAAAGCAATGACCATTTTTAGTGGTGTTTCATTACCTGCCAATCAGAGTCCATGTCAGACTTTCATTAGTGCAGTGTTTACTCTGTCTCTCGGATCATTAATGAATTTTCAAATAAGATCAGGCTGACATTCATTGCTAGGGACTTAGCGAGTATGACATTATTTACCATTACTTGGATCCAAGTCAATCTCCAGATTTTAAACATTATTCTAGGGCACAGAGCAGAACCAATTACTCTGTGAATAAAAGTTGTCACTGAACTTTAATGAAACACATCTACAGTCAGCTATTATCTATACAATGAGATCTTCTTAATACATACAACTGCTAATCCCACTGACTTCTCCCATAATTAACCATTCATATGTTTACTTTTCTCAAGGCAAACCTTCCAGATCTCTTCCTTCATAGTTACTCATCTTGTCAGTAATGGGAAACACTTACCAATCTTCAGAAATACCTCTTTGCCTTTGAAAACAGTAAAAACTTCTTAACTTTTAACATGTACATCGAAAATCCAGTGTTATGTACATGTCAGAATTCAGAGCCTATAACTATAAAATTCAGCTTACATTTTGTCACATTTTAATAACTGAATTCCACAATTAGAAGCAATAAACTAAAAATAAACATATTTTCTGGGACTTATGTTGATTAAATATATGCATAGTTAAAATTTACATTAAAACACACACATTCACACACAAAATCTCACAACCCTACAAATAAAATTGGTTATGTGATAATTTATTGAGTTTAATAATAATTCTTCTGTATCTATAGACTACATTTTAACCATTATATTCTTACATATTATATACTTTTCAACTATTATGTTTTATGCTAGACATAGAGAAAGACAAAAATTTATACTTTGTACTCATATATATATATATATATATTTGAAAATGAGGTTCTTAGAAACTATTGAAAATTTACTAGTTGATTAGTAGCTCATAAAATCCTACATTTTGAATGTAATTTTCACACTCCAACTGGAATGAAAAACACCAAAAAATGGGAAATGCTAGACAAACAAATAAAGCAGTTTTCTCAAAGTAAGCTTTGCTTGAAAAGCCTGAGCTGCATTCTCATAACTGTGTGTCCCATGTGAGTTGCTCAGAACTAGGATATTTGGTCAATTACTGAGAAGAAGACAGTTATGAATTTCTCATATGAATGTTCACTCAACTCTTTTACAGAACTATTGTCCCACAATCAATATAAATGATAGAGCATATGTATGATTGAATGAGTGTGTGAATGAAAAAGAGGACTTACATACAGTTCCAAAGGCTCATGATAAGAAACAGAAACAACAGTCTTCTTTAGATATGGAACATTCCTTTATAGAAAGCTTTTGAGATGATTATCATCATTAATGAAACTTGATGGCAATACAGTTGTTCGAATTTATCTGATTATGCCTCTCATAACTGAAAATATTTTAGGATTAGTTAATGACATAATAAAAGTATGAAGGTATAACAATGTTCCACAAATTAAAATAACAATAGATATTTTTCCAAGTAGTTTATATTCAAATCAATCAAATATATACATATATATTTAATTGATGTCAGAGGCTGGAGAGATGGCTCAGCCATTAAAGGCTAGGCTCACAACCAAAAAATTGATGTCAGTTACTGATATATAAATCTGTCAAACCACATTCCACAAAACTATTTAAAAATAGGAGTGATTTGAATTCTTTTTGACATCAAGGG